CCTGGAATTGTTGCTGGCCTATTTCAAAAGCACAAAACGCATGCTACTCATATGCATATTTTTTATATAAATTGTAATGGGACGGTCGCACATAGCAGATGACGACACGAACGAAATGTATTTTATTTAATGAAGAACCGCGCCGCCGTTAGGAGCAGCCGGAAATGCCGTTTCCTGCTGTACCTGGGAAAGCCGATTAGCGCGCCGAGGGAAAGGAGGAAAAGCGCCTCCTTTGTTCAGCTGAACCCACGCCGGACGCACCCGTCGTGACGTATGGGGAAATACGCCATCCACACCCCTAAACCGAGCAACGGAATTACCCGCTCCTATTTCTGAGAATTTAAGTGACGGAGGAAACTTCGGAGGAAGTTGCTGGGGGACGGCTTTGTCGCTGGCGCCGTGATACGCGGAAGTATCTACGAGTGGCGCGACGACCAATTAAAATAGACGATGCGGGGAGGAATCACGTGGCACGCGAGCCTTCCTGAGGCACCGCCGATGAAAGGATCGATCACTTGTCTCGGAGGCGGCAGGGGGATCACTTGTGTCGGAGTACCCGCGACATGACTTGTTTGTGAGGCAGCCGCGAGAACACTTGCTGTTGAGGCAGTAGCAAGGCCACTTATTTCTGTGCCTGGTCGCCCCGAATGCCACGCCGCCTCGCCACTTCGCAGCCCGACTCGTGTGACTGAAGACGAACGATGGGACGGGACACTACGAGTGAGTGCCTTACCGAAAGGGCCATGTGAGTACGAGCCGGGGGCGTGAAAGACAATACCGCGAAGCGACCCGTCATCGCCCGGTGGCGTTCCCGCCGCCGCCCGCGCCAAGCAACGCTGAGGAGCCGCCGGTCGACGCACGCCGCTGGCCTAATCCGGGGCCGCCGCCGTGACCGTCGAGGGGCCGCCACTAAGAGACCTGAAGCAAGCAACGACCGTAGCTGCCCGCCGCCAGACCTGCCGAGCGCTGGGATGCCCGCCCCTGTGAGCTGGATCACGACCGCCCGGGAGGGCGAAGACACCGGAGCTGAGATGAACTCTGACCATACCTGCCCTTTCTAAGTTAAGATTAGTTTTAAATTAATTGTAAGTTTGTTTATGTTACTGGGCTTCACCCACACCGATTTCAAAAGTGATTAAAGTATTATTAAGAAAATGCCGAAGTCTTTCTCTCTAGTAGTTAGGCAATCACGCATGCCTCCCTCCAGGGAATCTGCCGACCAAGCAGCGGGGCAAAGCAGAATCGCTGAAGGAATCAGGTAATCGGGTATCAGTGGTTGCAAAATTGATTAGTAATCTAACAGACTGTCCTTTGCTATGAGAACAATTGAAGTTTGAAGGTCCTACTTCATCACTAAGAAACAGGTTCACTTTCGGAATTGATAAATTCAACTTACCCTGTATAGCAAATGACTCCAACAACAGATTATGTAAATTAATAAACAAATTCCCCATTGATGTAAATCAAGTGTTTCTTTGCAACTTTGTGACCAAAGCTAGAACATTATTGAGTGCTGCTGCCTTTTCCGGGCAAGCAATTTTACTGATGCAACCGGGCAAGCAGGGTCCAGCAAACCCAGGAGTATCTGTATGATGTTCTAATAAAGTTGTTTAATTTAACAAAACCTTTCAAAATACTTTAAATTGGATTTTAAATGATTTTTTTCTCTTTTATTATAGATCGTGCACACTGTTTATCTTGGTAGGCTCATTACAGACTGGTTTTGAACAGATTCTACATCTCTTTGTTTCCTACTTAATTTCCAAAGCACATTTTTTTGGCATTGTTAAAATATTTATGAGTTTTGGGAGCTGCTTCTTCCCTGATAATGTTTGTGATTAATAGGCGAAACTTGTTATTCAATACTGTTTGACTGTCTCCTAACATTTTGTGTATGAATCAAATCCTTTGCAATATCAAAAATAAATAATTGTATGATCTCATAGTTTCTAACATTCAGTAAGGGTCAGCAATATACCTGTTACAGTGTATTTTCCTGCAAAATCTGGACCACACCCTACTTCAAAAACTCACTCTCCTAACCCTTGTTAACCTGCAACATACTAACCCGCAACAACACTGGGTACGATGAAGTCGTTCTTAGAAATGCTTACACTTAGTCTTTCGTAAAATGGTTGCAGGTACAGTTAAAAAAAATCACCGTAGCAAACAGTCACAAAAAACCAGTGTGGATGACTGAGATCGTTATGGTAGTACTTCTGTAGCGATCTTGGACCGAAGAATCATGGGTTTGAGTCCCACCTCGGGCATGGTTGTATTTGTGTTTGTCCTTTCACCCCCCTATCATTACCATATCATGTCATCTTCACAGTTACCATTAAATGCAATAGTGGTCACTAATGGCCTAGATGGTGATTCAACCTTAAGTAACAACAACAACAACAACAACAACAACAACAACAACAACAACAACTACACAACAACAACAACAACAACAACAACAACAACAACAACAACTACACAACAACAACTACACAACAACAACAACAACAACAACAACAACAACAGTCACAAAAAACTATCCCAACCCCATCCATACTTTCCATATAAAATATTGAAAATGTTGCTTCTGGGTCCAATGGTCTCTAGTTGCCTGGATAAGTGTTAATGTTATTACAAAATGTGTAATTCATTTCTCTGTTAATTTGTGTATAAATTGAGGACTTTAAGCATGTCAATAAATAAATACATAAATAAAGAAGTAAATACATCAACCAATTAATTATATATGTTGTATAATAATTTTATATATTCTATAAATTATATATTATAATTTATTTAGTACCCGAGAACCGTGCGGTCTCGTTGAACCCTCATCATGTAACAAAATCTAGCTATTCATTTTCATGTTATGTTTCATATCATACAATGCCATTCATTAGAGATTCTCTCTTTACCAGCTCTGAATTGCCTGGCAAATTTGCAGTGAATAAGTGAATACAACCACAAATACAATTGCACATTGTAGCTAAGTGCGATATTTTTACTTTCTTTTCACAGTATATTGTGACATCAACTTTTATGAGTTTTCTGACATGAATGGCTCTGTAAAAACTAAAACGGTGTGTAAAATTAATACCAACTATACTGAATCTGCGAATATAAGATGACCCTGCATTTTTTACTGAGATATTTAGGAAAAAAACTTGTCTTATATTCAGGTAAATATGGTGTTATTTGAAGGCTTCAATGTTATCTAAAGAATGGGGAATACTTGGGAATATAGCACCAATATCTAGTGAAATGAATATGGGGGGGGGGGNGTCATTTAAGTTCTCTTAGGCATGAAAACAAAACTTCAGAATCACAATAGTAATGTTGATTTGGAGTGTAGACTTTAGAAGTTGATTTAAGACTGCGCACACATTGTATTGCGGAGAACCTATGGAGAAGATGATGTGTCGCATAGGATGGTCATCTTTATGCATTTTGTTTAAACCATAGGTTCATGTTGTACCATCCCTGGGGTAGGATATATTTTGTTGTAGGTTTTGAAATGAGTGTAATTGTATGTTCTCCTCCTCTATATGACCTCTTGAAGATCTTTAATGAAGGATACTATTTTGCTTCAAGAAAGCTTAGTATCTAAGATCTGACATTTTACTTTAAGATAATATTCAAATCTTTCAATTGAAATGAATCCTTCTCCTTTATCACAATTGGTAAACAGAATGTCATGGTTATCTCTTATAAAGGCATTAGACTCTTTAAATTTTTTATTAATTTTCTGTTTTTATATATCTGTTTCCTTTTCTGCTACTTACTCCAGTCATTTCCCCACTGGCTCTCTAATGCTCAAGTTCTAGACAATGTGCCTACCAATATGGGAGATTTTAAAGTGTTTCTTCAATATCCTATATGTGGTAAATTTTTAGTAAGTTGACATTGACCATAAATTTAGTGTGTATACAATTTTTGGTGCTTCAGTTAACTAGTGAGTTTCTCTGTCCTTTTACTTTGTACTTATATTTTCGTTAGTGTCTTTTAATAGATACACTTTTTAGTGTATGTGACTTTGTTATTTCACCTTTATACTACTTTTTATTTTTTTTACAATACCAATATAATGGTATTATGATTGTGTTTTTCTTTCACAGTTGAACCATTTTATTTCAATATACAACCTGAAGATGTGAATGAATCATTTCACAAAACCTTATTTTAACAAATGCTAAGTTTGCCAATTCAACTCTATGACTAAAGTCTACTTTTTCCACTAAATTTTGAATTGTTTTCAATTTGTCTATAAAAGTTGAAAGGTATGGTCAGCATATAATTAGAATAATACAAAGACACACATTCATCAGTGCATATGCGCTCACATCCACGTGCATTAATTGGTATTTCCCAGAAGAGAAAATATGTTTAGTGTTTGTGTTTTTACAGCAACGTTCCAAGCCCCCCCCCCCCTTAATAAATGAAAATGGCTTGAGAATGTATGTTGACAGGCCAGTCATTTTCTTTACCCATCAAATGTGTTTTTTTAATCTGGAAATGTCTGAAATAGAATATTCATATTGCTTATTATTTAAGTAATTTATAATCTGATATAATAATTGGCCAGACATAGGGTAAATCAAATTGTCTAGAGCTTTGTAAATTGTTATGTGTATTTAGTTTGTAACCATTATCAAAAGATTGAGTTCATTTTGAAAATCATGTAGATTATTGAAAAATGTTATATTACATTAACGTTCCTACATTTTCTTCTGTGGCAGAAGTATAATTAAAATTTATTCTTGATTTCTGTTTTTGTAAAGCGATTAAAATTCATAGAATGCAAACAAAACTGATCATTAATATCAGAAGTAATAATGTTTAAGTTATATTTTTCACTATATAATTTCCACAATTGTGATATAATTTGTATTGGTTTGTGATGTATAAACATATTTTTATTGACAAAATGTGACCTATTTCTATGAAAAACTGTAAATTTGGGCTGAAGATAAATAAACTTTATTAATTCTGTTTTATAGTGATCTACTTCGCCGAACAATTGTGGAAGTTATTGCTGGAATAATGGTGCTTCCCAACAAGCTACCTATACAACTTAGTGATTCTGTACAAGCTGAACAACTGCGAATGCCTGAATTGGAGGTAAATTTGGCACAACTCCTTTTATATATTATATTTCATAATAATGCAATTTCAAAAAGGCACATAACTTATTAACTACTAAATTCAAAAAGTTATCATTTTCCTAACATTTTGTTTAGTATTGGTAAATTTTCTCATTGAAAAGCAAAAAGAATTTGGTAGAAGTGCCAAGTATTTTTAGGTCTAGGACTAACAAACTAGATATTAGTTATTATTATTGTTTATTATTATTATTATTTATTATTATTATTATTATTATTATTATTATTATTGTTTATTATTATTATTGTTTATTATTATTATTATTATTGTTGTTTATTATTATTATCATTTTTTCAATTTGTGGCAAGCTTGTTTGTGATGCTCTGAGAACACGCTTATCACATAATTATTACTAAAAATCATTGTATTATCATCATCATCATC